TTTTTTTTTTTTTTTTTTTTTTTTTTTTTTTACACTATCTGAGCTAAAACAACAGTACTGCCACGGTCTTTGGCAGTCTTAGAACATTGTGTGCACACACACACACACACACACACACACACACACACACACACACACACACACACACACTTTTAACAGCAGTAATGTAGCCACTCCTTAGTGATTTGATATATAGTTTTTCCTGGCGAGCTTTAAGAAGGCCTCAATTGCTGCATCTCTTTCATTCTCATCCATGTTTATTCAGCACTTCATTGCAATCTATCCTGACCTGTTTCCTTCTGCCTGCCTATTAAAATTCCCCTTAATTATAGAACACTGTTTAATTAACTTGATGGATGCATCCAGCGTGATCCCACAGGGAATAAGAGACGAGAGTACTAAAAGAAAATCAGTCTGAGTTCTTTGGGATGTGAGAGCTTACCGTTTTCTCCTCCGTTTGAGTATTGCATTATCTGTGAATGGAAGGAAAAAGATTGCTCAAACTTATCTTTCTTCAAATGTTGAATTTCCAGTTTACTAAGGAGAAAAATGATTATTTTGCTAAATGGGTATTTTAAAATCCTTCTCCCCTCACAGAAATTCAGAAGTGGCAAAAGTATAATTTAAGCGTTGAGAGAGTGAGACTGAAACTTCTCCGTTGCCTGTGTGCCTCAGTGCTCAAGCAGATGACCAGAGCAGCATACTACATCCTGTGAATGTGGAAGAGGTTAGGCATATGTGGACTTGTCGCCAATCAGGGTTTTTCAAAAGTCTATTAACAACCTTTCCTCGGTTATTTCTGCTGTTGAGTTGAAAAATGTGCATCATCCACACCTGTATACTGAAATAAGCCTCAAAGTAGAGAATTGCCTCCTTTGTCAGAAAGCAGATAATTACCCTGCCAATTGTAGGACTTTTATTTTTAGAGCAATTTATCATAACTGAAAAAATGTGAATGATGCTTCAGTTGCATTGCCGCTTGCTTACGGTACTAAAGATTTTAGCTACATTTTATGCGACTGCAATTTATTTAGCATCCTGGAACTTATATTTTGAACGATAGGGGTTATAATACTCATTTGGTTCATTTATTTCTTACTAAATATGAGAGTTGATGACTAGTGATCAAATATCAAAATGTGTCTCAATAACTTCAATTCTAATGCCAGATGTGAGCGGCCATACTGACTCAGAGGCTGTGTGAATGAGCCAGAATTCATGTTAATGCAACTCTAAACTTTATCTGAGCTCATTTATGGTGAAGACTTGTATCTCCCACTGATGTTCTACTGTTTTATTTTTTCGCATAGGTTTTTGACATCTTACCAGTGTGTGGCGTATTGCAACCTCAAGAAGAGCAGCTTGTCACTTTCTCTTTCTTTGGTCATGAGAACGTCAGGAGAGAGGTGGTGGCTCAGTGCTATGTTGAAGATGGACCAACATATGAAGTCCAACTCAGAGGAGAAGCCTCAGCAATCTCTTACAGTCTTGAGTCTTCCCATCTTGACTTCGGCTCTCGGGTATGTGAAATTGTGGAGTTTAGATTTTTTTTTTTTTTTTTTCCTGGCAATGACGTTTTACACTACACATTTTAGAAGAGAATTTTTTTTACTTTACTTTAAGTTGCTTCTCATAAATACTGAAAACTGTCAGAGTTTAGGAGATGAATTAACAACAGAGGTTTCCCACATGGTCTGGACCGGTTCTCCAACCAGCTGATGAACATGAAGTGATCCCATCCAGCGGTGTTTTTCATATTTCTAACCATTGCACATTGACCTCACAAATAGAGAGAGGTCTGGAAGCACTCTCATGAGTTGTACATCTCATAAACGTTTAAACTTCAGTTTTGCTGCACGTCAATCAAGAATGAACCATCTTATAACTTGAAACGCAACACATGAAGGATCAAGTTATTTCCATTGTTTTGTTATGCTTTGCTTTTTATATTCTTTTGCATCTGTTTGCTACATCGATGTGTTATGTGTTGCCCAAATCCAATTTACTGTTTGGAGATGTTGATAAGATGATACATAGTGCAATACAACCTGGTGATGCTGACCCTATTAAAGGGTGTAAGACTGATTTGTGTGATTTTTTTTGAGTTTACTCAGCTCATGCAGTGTAATATTATTGCTACAGTACCTTGCAAAAGTATTCCTACCACTTGAACTTTTGAATGTTTTGTCACTTTACAACCACAAACTCTAATATAGTCCATTGGGATTGTAAGTGGAATAATAAATATCAAATAACTCTAAAGGAAAAAATGCAACGTTTCCAGCTTTTTTACAAATATAAATTAATATTCATAGGTTCAATTAATGTAGTTATATAGATTTTCTACAGGGGAAGCTAGATGAGTTACTAACTTTAAATGCCACAGTCTTCAATCAGTTTTCCACACTTTTGTCTTGTTTACTTGCACCTTCTCTTTACGTATGCAGGCCACTGGGACTTGTTATCATTGATATTCAAAACAAGGACACATTGATTTTTTTTATTTAGGTGAAAAAGCGATTCAGCAGAACATTTATCCAACCCTCCTGTCTGTTCAGCATTCTTCATTCTCTTCCTCTTCTTATTTTATTATCAGAAATTTGACCTGAAACAGGCCAGTTGAAGCATTTATAATTTTTATTAAATTCCTTTCAGTTCCTTTTATTTTTATGACCCTCAAGCACAAGAAAAACCATCTTGACAACTCTTTTTCTAGGTTGCAATTTTCTACTTTGTATTTACTACTCAAAAGTAGATGGAATAGTTTACGTGTTGATTGTCACAAGGCTCTGTTCATGTGATCTTCAAGCTATAGTGTCTTAATTTCCTTTCTCCTTCTTCCAGCTCTTTCACTGTGTCAGTGAAGTTGAAATGTGTGTTAGGAATACCGGCAAAGTGGACTTTGACTTCAACGTCACATACTTTCCAAATGCAAAGGAGAACGAAGGGGTCGATAAAGGAGACGGAGTGCTGATTAAGGCAGATGATGACGACAGAGATGGACAGCAATTAAAAGGAAAAGGTCAACAACACGAGAGGCTGAAGATCAGACCTGGGTGGCCCGTAATTATTCCATCTGTGGTGAGTCAATCATAATAAAAGCTCCTGTGTGAATTTTTCCAGGTGTGATTTTAGTTTATCACTTAACATTCTGTTTGTGTTGCTAGGGTTACATTAGTGCTGGTTCAGAGAAGCACCTGCGTGTACTTTACCTGCCTGGCATCCCTGAAGTGTTTAAGAAGCAGTTTCAGCTCCAGGTGGCTTTCTTACCTCCCCAGGAGGTCACGCTAACCGGGGTGGGAGTGTTCCCAAGAATCCGACTGAATTTGCCACGAAACTTGTGTATGTTCACACCTGCACTCAGACGGTCACAGGCTCTGCCAAAAGAAGTACATTATATTACTCATTATGATCACCTCCCTGCCGACACACGCTCATACAGCACCTAAATGTTGTGAAATCTTCCAGTTGACTGCATTTGGGATAATATTATCCCAAATAGTCGCTTGGAGTAATTTTGTTGTTCTCTTGCAGCTGAGCAGTGCTACAGAGATGTGGTGCAGCAGGCCCAAGAAGCTGTGACAGCACAGAGTGTCAGTAAGGAGGTTGCACTTGGAGGAGGAGCTGGGCAACAGCCTAATCGTGGACCAATGGTCAGTAAATACAAAATGGATATAAAATGCTTGCTTACTTATGTAGGAAAATCTGTATAGTTTATATAGTTTTATGCAAACAGTTTCTTAGAAGTTTAAATGTATTGTCCTTAAACAATATTACTCATTTATTATCATAAATCATAATGATAATAAAGTGAGGTTGTTTATTGTATGATAATAAAGAACTTAAGAACTTTAGAATTTTTTTTCTAAAGCTCATCCTATACAAAAATGAATTTTCTAATAAAAACAAACATGTTATGGCCTTTTATCAGAAACACATTTGCCTCTTCTAAAGGATCTTTTAAACAGTTTATTGTAATTTATTAAGTTTTAAAATAAATTTTAAAAAAATTGGTAGTTTTGATTTAGAAAGGAAGAATGACAAAAGAAATTAAATGGATAGTAAAAAAGAGGACAAAGTGAAATTCAGGAAATATATCCAAAAAAACATTTCCTGCCTGATCAATCTAACCTCAAGCATAAGAGGGAATATTGCATTTATAAACCACATTGAAATGCAGTTCATTGGCAAACAGTTGTCCATTAAATATTTAAAACAGGAAAAAGCAAAACAAGCAAGTAAAAGTGAAAATAGAAGAACAAACATGCAAGATGATGTAACGTATACATACCATGGACAAGTAAAATACAAAAGAATGTGCAGGCTGGAAACATAAAGATCTCAGGTTTTTCAGGATCTTTCTGTTTCTCAATGAAAAACCAATGCCACTTCCTTCTTTTACTCATTTATATGCTTTAACAAATTAGTAATAAAAAAAAGGCAAACAGCAAAATTGTAAGCTGATGTGTTTTTTCCCCCATTTTGTCATGCTCTGCTGTTTTCATTTTTCTTTTCCACCTGCTTTCTGTAGAGTGAAGAGTTGATCCAAATGGAGGTTGAGAGACTGCTAGTGAAAGACGATGCCCATGTGCCTTACAGGCCGTGGGAGCTCAGCGACTCACAAAGTTCTCTTTCACAGTGGCAGGATTTACACAAGTAAGTTGAAACAAAACTCTAGTTTTAAAGATGGTCTTGACTTAGAATTTAGCTTAAATTGATTACTCTAAACAAGTTAAATTAGAGTTTTATGTGAATGATTTTTTTATGGTCTGTTATATAAAACAAATCCTAATCATTAGTCTGTAAAAGTGTAGTAAGTTTCTGTTTTATTCTTTTGCCAGTTTCAAGCTTCCACCATATGTGCTGGATTTTGGTGTGGTGTTTCCAGGCAAAATCTTCAGTCAGACAGTGAAGATCTTAAACAATGGGCCAATACCAGTGTCCTTCCGTGCCTACCGCAAACATCTAGCAGGCACAGGTGACACAAGCACAGTTGTAATCTCTGCCTTCCTTTCTTTATATTAATTATTATTATTATTATTATTTTTATTTTTTTTTCCTGTGATGATGAGTTTTCTTTTATCATGGAGTCATGTGAGGGAAGTGAGGCTTATTTTGGATCATACAGCTACTTGAAAAACATATTTTTAATAAAAACAGCAATGTAACTTGGAAAGGATTGTAAAATCAATAATGGTGCAAGTGAGATTTAATATTGTCTTTCACAGGCTTCACAGCAGAATTTAAAAACATAAGGAACCTTCCCAGTGGTGAAAGCCACACTTTTACAATTACGTTTGATTATCTCTCTGCCAAAGGAAAGATGGGGCAGACAAGCGTCATTCTGCCAATACAGGTGTCCTCAAGAAATCCCAATTATTATGATTATGATTATGATTAAGTTTAACGTTACTCTGTTATTTGTCTGCTAAGTCTGCCAACCATTGGAGGATTGCTAACTTATGATGTTTTTGGTTGGTTTTAAAGCTCACCGATGGTCCAGTGGTGCAGGTGGAGTTGTGTGCAAACATTTCTCTTCCAGCAGTCACTACCTCAAGCGATCTGCTGCTTTTTGACAAAGTGCAGTGTGGCATGTGCCAGGTAAAAGAACATCCATTCGCCCACAGATTACCTTTGACATCCTGAAAAGGAACATTTATGATGACATACAGTGCCTTGTCAAAGTATTCATACTTAGTCACATTACAACCACCAACCTTCATCAGTTTCATTTGGAGTGAGTTGCACTAGTTTTTATCCAGGGGCATCTCAAAAAATGAGCATGAGAAAAATACACACCACACACGGCAGAATTCTATTTGCATTTTTTTTTAAAGTAATGTATAATTGACCTCCTCTTTCACAGTTTTGAAACACTATGTGCAAGTCCATAGTATAAAATCTAAGTAAATACACTTAATTTTTTTTTTGCACATAAACAAAACATAAAAACCTTTTGAGGCACGGTAAAGATTTCAGACGTCCAAAAACAGCTAATCCTTCATAGATATAGCCGGGATGCACTGGCTAACATATCTTTTCTAACTCTATAAACTGAATACCACTTAATTATAGATTTAAATATGATTTGTTTTTGGAAGAATGCAAAAGAAAAGTAAAAGTTCAAAGTCTCAGTTACAGAACGTGTTGCATATGAATGAGCAGCACTAACAAGGTAACTCCATGTTGCCTCACTATCGTGGCATCTTGTAATTTAGTTTAACATCAGGATGACAGAGTTGCAAAGAGTCAACATTCTCAGAAATACACAAGCCTTGGATGACAATATGTTCAACTGATAATAATCCTCAGCTGGTTGAGCATTTGACTTAAAGCTCTGCTTTAAGTCAAATGCTGATTAATTGTTATAGGTAGGTCTCAAATCATTTTTTTTTTTTTTGGCAAAACTAGTCATGTTTGGAAATGTTTTTTCTCAGATTCAAAAGGTACAGCTGAAAAACTGTGAGGCTGTACAATGTCATTGGAGGATAACTGAAGAAATAAAACCTCTCAAAAAGGTGTGACTTTTTAATAAATTTTTTATTTTTATTTTTCTTTCTCCACTAATTGTTGTTTAATAATAACCAGCTATGAGCAATTCTCTTTGACTTGATATTAAAGTTGTTTCTGAAAATGTTTGGTTAGTGTTTGACATGTTGCATGATATTTTTTTCTCGCTCATAAGCTCCTAATGAATATAAATATACTTGCAGCATCATCAGAAGCCTTCATCGATATTCCAGGTGTTTCCCTCCTGTGGTGTGCTGGACCCTGACAAATCTGTGACCGTCCACGTCAAGTTCTACCCTACAGAGGCGGTAGAGATTATATTAATTTTATGATCTTCTTTTTCAAATGAAACCAACACTCTTGTTTAAGCAACAACAAGTGTAACAGGACTAATATGCGAATGTTTGAAAACTGTTTTTGTTTTCCAGGGTTCATACAACAGACGGTTGGTGGTCCATGTCGCAGACAGCACTGAGCAGGTCTTCATTACAGCTAAGGGTCAAGCTGAGGAATCTCTCCTCAAGTTCTGCCCATCTGTGCTGGAGCTCGTACCTTGTCTTCCTTTTAGCACGGAATCTAAATCTGAAGTCACAGTGAAAAACATCTCCTCCTTTCCTATCGAGTTTTACTGCCTTGAGTTTGACACACAGTACATCAAGGAAGAAGAGGTAGCTTTGTTTAAAGATTTAGAAACAATATGTCTGATGTATCGATTGAAAAGTAATGTTATGGTTTATAGTACTCTGTATATCTATCCAACGTAACCAGAATTCGATGCTAAAGGTTTTTACTTTCTGAAGTTAAACCAGCTAAGGCTTGGTTGGTCTTTCAGCTTTGCTGAGGTTCTTCCAGACTGATTCATTGCTGGTAGATCTTTTCAGAAATGCCTTCAACTGTGTGACATACATAACTCCCTCCCAGTAGAAAAACAACCACAAAACAGGCCACCACTGCAGTACTGTGGTCTCCTGACCATCACAATTGACGGTCGGCAGACTCGGCACACACTTAAAATCTTCTCCCTTTTCCTTCAGCTGTCAATGAGACTATTCTAGTTTCATCAGATCACTCTACATGACTTTAAACAGTAAAGTCCTCTTCGCTGAGTGCATTTTCAAACTACTAATTGATTTTTTTACGCTTAGATTTAGAGCAATGAGTAATTTCAGATTTTTTTTTTTTTGTCTCATTTCCCATCTAAAACAAAATCTGTGATTGAATAAAAGTAATTTTATATCTTAATCTGCCAGGTGTCTAAATAATTTAGCCTAAAACATGTAAAACCAAGCTAAAACTCAGAACCAGAAGCAATGTCCCCCTTTTTAATCATTCTTCATATAGGTTTTTTTTTTCTCTCTCTTTTTTCCCTTTAAGATCCTGCGGGCTATACCAGAATATGACGAGAACAACATGCTGCTGCTTCCCCCAAGGGTACCTGGAAAGGGCCTCCCTGTGGAGCTGAATGAATATTGTACTCGGCTAAATGATGATGGTAACTTTACTAAAACGGTAATTCTTAGTAGATTGCAGTCTTTGTTTTAATGCTTGCAAAATAGTTGTTTTTGCTCATCTACAGAGCTGAATGAAGTCATAGAGGAAGATGAATCAAAGAAAAGTGGCACAGTAAAGGATGAGGAGAAATCAAAACCAAGTGATGGTCCAGACCTCTCTACTGCGAAATCGGATGACTTTTGTAAGCAGCAGAAGGGCCATACAAAAGAGCGCAACAAAAAAGGATGTTTTATTCACTGTTCATTTTTTATTATTGTGTCTGCATTTAGTTTTTTCAAAATTGACCAAAGAGGGAATCAGTCTGGGAAAGTTGGAGTTGACTCCTGTGGTCAGAGCGATTGCCCGCTATATGGATCTGGACGTTTCCCTACAAACAGTACAACACAGAGGAATTGCCATCATTGTATACGGAGCCCCTATGACAGGTAAAAATGCGCATCTTTATCTGCCCTTTCAAAGTAAAATTGATTTAACTATAACTTTTTTTTTTTTAATCTGAACTTGTTTTTCAGATAAACACAACTTGGCAGAGGCTCTGGCGAATCACTATGGGACAGCGTGCTTGACCATTGATGGTGTGGTCACAGATGCACTTCAAAATGGCACTTCTCCAGTAAGCCTCAAAGTAAGGCAGCTTTATGATACTGCGCTTGCTGAATATGAACAAAAACGGGGTCCAGAAGCTGGTAAGCCTAAAATTTCACTTAAGCAGTTTAAAAATAAGATTTAATTCAACTCGTCACCAAAAAACAAGAAAACCTGTCACATTTCTTTCTAGCCAAGTTCACTGAAGAAAAGATGCAAACAAAACATGCCGCATATCCTGAAAACCCAGTTCAGCGTGTAACTCCAGTTGGTAGTGTTGAAGTTCCCTTGGACTATCCAGAAAAGCACCACCCTAGAAATCCCAGTTCATTTCACCACCATAAGTCAGAATTCTCAGTAAGAGAAACCAGTGTGGTACATGTAGTGCCGTTTTTCTACTCAAATCCTCTGTGTAACCCTTACTCATCATAGTGTAGAATCTTTGACGCACATATTAAATCACACACAGTCTACCTGCTGACATACATTTGTTGTTGCAGAAAGGGAATTTGCAGCCATTCCGTTTCTTCCCATCTGAAAGCCTAGTTTCTGAAATCCTTTTGGAACGTTTTCAGGTACAGTAAACTTGAGCAACATACCCAAGAATCTTATTAAGAAGACACTAAATATTTAAGATAAGACAAACTTTAAATTAAAACATAACTGAAATTGCACAATCAAACAGATAGTTGCTGGTTACAGCACACGGGGACACTGCCTGAAAATCAAGTCTAAATGATGATTCACCCATTTATAGACAATAATTATCAGTAGTTTTTTGTTTGATCGGTCTTGTATTGTTGTGGAGGAGTTTTAGCCTATGCTTTGCAACATGATTTGCCTTCTTTGAGATTTGCAGTCACATTCTTGCACAGCTCTTTTAGGGTTCCGCAGCAGCATTTCTATTTCAACACCTTAATTTTTTTTTTTTTATGTAGATATCCTGCTGTGTTTGGAACCATTTTCAAATTGCTGACTTGATTTAGGCCAGTCTTAAGCTTTCAGACTGATGCCTTCAATTTAATCTATCTCAACTTTGTTCATATTTGCTCGAAGGACATGGCTCCAGAACTTTTTTTTTTCTTTTTTTTAGTTTAGAGATAAATCTTGCTTTTACAGAAGATTTCACATTTATGATGTTCACTTAATTAATAGCAATCAACTGCGAGAAACCCCTTTGTGCTTCTTCACCACAAAGTGATATGGTCTTAGTTTTTCCACACAATGCTTCTGGATGTTCTGTTTTTGGTAATTAAGTGCATTAAAATTTCACAATTGAATTTGTCAAGGTGGTAGCTATCAAAGGCAATATTCACCATACAATAAGAATGCCAACCTGATTTTTTGTCTTTTACCCCAAATCTTATAGCTAAAATATTACAATTGACCCTTTTATCTGAACCGGATTTGCGTATCATTGAAAAAAAAGAAAAGCAAATCAGCATTGCTCTATTATTCTTTATTCACAGTTAAACGATTGTCAACGTGGAGTAGTCATCAGTGGCCTGGAGTCTATTTACACCCACTCTCTACCAAGCTCGCTTCAAGCTGTGCTCAAAGCATTCTGTAACCGGAAGCACATCTATGTCGTCTACTTATTTGACACCTACGATGCCCTGACAATACGTGAAGGACTACAAAGACAAGCTGAGGGTAAATTGTTTGCTGAGTCCCTCATAGTGTAGATATGTACATTTGTATGTTGTACTATAAGGTTAGAACATGTTTTTTTTTTTTCTTTTTTTTGCATTTCCTGCAGAAGCCTTGCAGAAAGAGATGGCTGAGAAGGAGGAGAGGTGGTTCTTGGAGATGGATCAGGAGATGTTCGATGCTTTGCCTGACGAACATAAGGCTGGTATTACCCAGCGACACTTGCAGACACTTCGACTGAAAAAGCAGAGGTAATGATTTAACGCGTGTAAAATCTTTCTTTTTGAGCTCTACTTCCTTAACTTATTATATCCTGTGTATTTTAAATTTTCATCTAGCCAAAGAAACAAGTCTTTCTACCTCGTTGAAACATTGTTTACAAACGTTTCATCAAGTTTTTGGTGTCAATCAAACAAACTGCAAGAAATAAGATTTTTTTTGTCCACGGTATTGCAGTTGAACAACCATAAGTGCTTATTACCAAATTTTTTAAAGATTTGGGGCATTTGTAACATTCATTTGTCTTTACTAAAACTGACATGAATGAACAGTCAAAAGATGAAGTGATAATAAAACCGAAAAGCTGAAAAAGACCAGATCATTATTATTTCTGAAGTGTTGTCTCTGAATTACACCCAGAGTTCTTGAGGTATTGAGAAAAAAATTGAGGTATTGCTCAAGTTCATTTGTGTGTGTAAAGACAGATGAGAAATTGCTTCCGTAACTAATGTATATCTAAAGAAATATTTAGCAAACCCTTTATGGACTTATCAGATGAAAGTGACTGTTGATTTGATGTTTTTCATAAGATAGCCAAAACCTTAGTTTCATATAAATGTTGTCAATTGACCTAAAAAAGGTCAAAACTTGTCAAAACTACAACTTGCATTGTAATTGTGCACTGTTTGAGCCTCAGGTTTTTCATATACTGGCTTATTTTTGCTCTTGAAATCAAAAAATTGAGAGTTTAAATGTAATGATGAATTGAATATAGTCCTCAACTTTGTAGAAATAAGGTGCCTTCTTGGTTCCTTTATTGTAGAAGGGACCTTGAGCTGAAGGCAAAGGAGGAGGAAGAAAGGAGGCTGCAAGAGGAGATTCTCAAGTCGAAAGAAAAGGAAAAGAAAAAGAAGAAAAAGGATGAAAAGTTAGAAACCACAGAAGTTCAGAAGATGAAAAACTCAGTAGAATTAAAGCAGGTCAGGAGGGTTGCTGGTGATATGGTGATATTTTCACTAATTCTTTCTAAATAAACATTCATATAAATGCCTATAAATCAGCACAGTTACTCCCTCATCAGATTAATTTGTTTTATTTCCTTTTTGGTCAGCATAAACAATGTCCAAAAGATGTTCCTGGTGGCTGGTATCCTACGATTTTTATATTGGATAAACTGCAACATTTTCAGGGCCCAGGCACTAGATTTAGTTGTGTTTGACCGGGAACATACCAAAAATGTATGTTCTGTCCAGGCCCTGAGGACTGGAGTTTTTTTGGTGTGTTCTTGAATAATATTTTGTCCATCTTCCCATTTTCAGTGTCCTGTGGATGAAAGACGGATTGAGTTTGAAAAATTTGAACAGATCCATACAATGCTGGATCTTATCCTGCAGCAGTGGGACCGCGCCCAGGGCTTGCTCCTGGATTCTCGTTATGCTGAGGAAAATCTTCCAGGTTCAGATGAATTCATAGCAGAGAAAAGAGTAAATATGACTTTTATTTTTTTATATAGAATTGGAGCTGACAAGCTAAGCTATTTCTGTTTGTCATCCTTAGATTTGATCAGGCCGTTATTATATTGGAATAGTTAAAACGTTCTCAACTCTTTCAAAATGACACAACTTTGAAATTGAACCAACAGTAAAACAGTTTCTGGAAACGCATGGAATTTGATTTCTGTATTTATCACGTCTACATAGGTTTAGCAACGTATTTGTAATTCTCATCTCTTTTCCCTTTCAAGTGTTCTTTTTTTGTCTTTGTGTCTATCCTTACCTTCTTTGTTGTTCATTTCTTCTGCCCTTTGGTTGTTTCCTTTCTTGCCTCTATACTTCCTTAGCTTCTTTATTTTTTACCTTCCTTCCTTGTGTCCTTGCCTCCTCCTTCCTTCCTCTTTACTACCCTGTGCCGTACTGCACATTCCTTCCTTTCTTGTCCGTTTTTTTCCTGAATGAATTCTTATTTCCTTCCTTTTGTCCTTTTTAACTTCCTCGAAAATTTCTTTCCCTCTTTTGTCCTTTGTCTTTCCTTGTGTTTTCTTCCTCCCTTGTT